CCCCCCCCCCTTCCTAGAAAGTTAATCGATCCCCCCCCCCCATAGAACATTTTCTGCAGGCGCCCATGGGAGAAGGATATTGATTTTGATCAAGTGACTGCACATGTTTGCAGCTTTGAAGAACAGGAAAGGACAATTTAAATAATGTAAATTTAATGTAAACAAAAACTATTAATTAACGTTGTTACAGTGCTTAAATACATTACCCCCCTGAAATTCAAATTAATGTGTTTTCTGTTCTAGTCATTGTTATACTGTGGACTTATTTTTAACAAGAACAAATGCATCGTGGAAGTCCTATTAAAAAAAAAAAGGGGGGGGGGTTGTGACACCATGAGTTTACGAGTGACGCCTACCCTAGCTACGCCACTGCCACCAAGTGTCTATCTTTCATGGCACGGGTGTAAAATGCAACACATCCAGTTTGCTAATGGAGATCTTCTAAAGACTTCATTAGGAAACACGTAATATACCTATAAACTTTTATGGCAGTGGTTCTCAAAATGCACTTTCTCGGGGATGGCTTTCCTGAAGTTCGAGGATCGCTCGACAACTTCATGAGTTTAATAAGATTTTTCTGAAATGGTACATATTAACGTTTTTTTAAAAATAAATACCAATAACCTTCCATTGTTAAAATACGGATAATTCAATTATCTTCAATACTCGCCGTCCTTCATTTCTTAAGACCGGTTTCTCAATCTCTATGAATACACCTTGTTGGGTGACGTCACACCTTGGCAAATAGAATGACGTTTTCGGCTCCCCCCCCCCCCAAAAAAAAAAAAAAAACAAAAAAAAAAAAATAAAAAAGAAATAAAAAAAAAAAAAAAAAAAAAAAAATAAAAAAAAAAAAAAAAACTAAATTAAAATAATTAAAATTAAATTAACATAAAATATAATTAGACATTTTTAAAGAAAGATTGAGAACTGCTATCTCATTGAAAGGAATAGCATGACTAAGGGTGGCTAGAGCGTGAAGAAAGAAATGAATGCGCCATGACGTTATACGATAAGCATATCCTTAAAATATCACGTGACGTCTTAAAAAAACAAGGTCAGGTAAACAACATAGAGCAGATGCCATAAATTGGAGCCTAAAACGTAAAGACTTTAACAGCAAATCTTGATCACCAAACACAGTTAACTGACTTCCCTCGTATGAAGATCATATTGTATGCCATTGTGTTCGGAGCTACCAACTCTCGGCAGAAAAACTTAGCCTAACCTGTAGCCTTTTTTCACATACACCTACAATCTACGGTCCGCACTTCACGATGCACCTATCTTTACATATACATACGCTCTATGGTCCACACTTAACAATGCAGCTATCTTTACATAGACATACAATTTACCTTCCACACTTAACAATGCAGCTATCTTTACATACACACACAATCTACGGTCCGCACTTAACAATGCAGCTACCTTAACATACTCATACACTATTTGGTCCACTCTTCACAATGCAGCTATCTTTACATACACATACAATCTGCTTTCCACACTTAACAATGCAGCTATCTTTACATACACATACAATCTACGGTCCGCACTTAACAATGCAGCTACCTTAACATACTCATACACTATTTGGTCCACTCTTCACAATGCAGCTATCTTTACATACACATACAATCTACGGTCCACACTTCACAATGCAGCTACCTTTACATACAGTTGTCCGTCAGTTCAGATGTTCATGTGGTCACTTTTTCGAGTGGTCACTTGTCCGTGGGTTCACTTGTTTGTGTGTTCACTTTATCATTTGTCTGTGGCTTCACTTGTCATGTGTCCGGTTGTCATGTTGTCAGTTGTCCTGTGTTCACGTGTCTTGCGTTCAGTTGTCAAAGAGCCTAATAAATTCAGTGCCAACCCCTGTTTTATTGGCATCTACGAAGAAAGCTTTGGCCCCATCCCCATTCTCAACACCCGTTCTTTAATTACAAGATATAATTCTGATTGGAGGTAATAGTGGGAAACGGTATGTAGAAGATTGAGATATAGAGACATAAAATCATATCCAGTGTTTCTTTCAGACCATTTCAGATTTTCGGGTGGGGGGTGAGGGGGTGCCAGAGAAAAGAGGCGTAGCTTAGGTGGGCATTGAGGCACATTCTCCTAACTCAAGACTAGTGGGGGCACCTAATGGGCTTTTATTGTATTAATGGATGAAAATATGGGTTTCATAGTTTAAAGACGGTGTGGGGGGGGAGGGGGGGTTAAAATGAATCTTGTCCCCTTGCATCCAACACTCACGCCAGTGACGAGAAAGAGAGGGGGCGGGGGAAGGGGAAGAGTCTGGCCAGGTGTACTTTGTTTCTTTATACTGAGTTATGTCTATTTTCATAGTTTAAAGACGGTGTGGGGGGGGAGGGGGGGTTAAAATGAATCTTGTCCCCTTGCATCCAACACTCACGCCAGTGACGAGAAAGAGAGGGGGCGGGGGAAGGTGAAGAGTCTGGCCAGGTGTACTTTGTTTCTTTATACTGAGTTATGTCTATTTCGGACAACTGCAGAGTTTCACTCGTGAAAGGTAGCGTGGCAAAAAAGTCAACCAGCCAAACAGGTCCGTTCTTAGGCATACGCTGACTACACATCCGCGTAGGGCCCCGAACGTGAGGGGCCCCCGTTAGGCGCCCTCGATAGCCGGGGGCGATCTCCTTCCTCAAAATAAGGAAATAAGTGCCACCAGAGGCATTCTTAGGCATATAGGCAAACTAGGCAACCGTCTAGGGCCCGAGTCCCACCTGCATGTCCATATATTTCAGAAGTACACATTTTCTCTAGTGGCGGAATTATCAATATGGTTAGTGGTTACACGCGAGCAAAGAGACACCATTGATGAAGGCATAATGGAGGTGACGCAGTGGTGGGTGGTGTTTTCTCCTCAGCTAGAGGGAGCTCCACCCCCGGACCCCCCCCCCTTCTGGGGCCCCCAACCTACGCTCCATGCTTAGGGCCCCCAAACTCCTAAGAACGGCTCTGAGCCTAATGGGGCGCAAACACAAGGCTAGGCAGTGCATATATCGGCACACAAGTTTGGGGTCAGGGCAAGCAATGCTGCAAGTTTTACCAGGAAGAAGGGCAGAAATCGAGCATTCCGATGGCTTTTCCCTAATCAGAAAATTTTTGATTATTTAAAAATCATTAGGTGCATTTTTTTTTAAATAAGAATATTATTTCATCAGGGGAAATATTTTTTCAAGCATCGGGGGAGATATTATGGCCCCCAGTGCCATACATAAACTAAATTCGTTCGGTTAGTGGATCGCCCAATATAATCATTTGACAAGTCAAGGCAAGGTGTAGCAGAAATGTAGGAATAAGAAGAGTCTCGAGCAAAAGTCGGGGTAGGGATCCCCTTCATTAAAAAAAATAATAAAATTGGTGCATATTTACATTCAGTGTTTATTAGGAAATAGGGAGATGAAACACGGCACAAGATCGTTTATTAAGTACAAAAAGAGTAGGGAATGTCTAGAGTGGGTTTTCCATACGCCCATGGAAACATTCTTGTCACCGACGTTAACGGCTGGTGACTTGCGTTTGAGGTGTATGGGGGGGGGGGGGGGCGGCCTATCAAATTCGGGGTTTTTAAACTCATAAAAATCCGATCTGCCCCCCTGAAGAAAATAAACTCATGAACATCCGATCTGTCCCCCTGAAGAAAAGATTGAAATTTAATGTTACATTCGTAGAGCTTTTTTTTTGTTGAAAATTCTCATAGTAGCAAGATATGAAAAAAAAGCAAAAAAAGCCGAGCCATTGGTTAAAAAAAAGTTGCTACAAAAATCATTAATAGGTAGACATTGACAATAGTGGGGAACATGTTTATCTTAATTTCCTCGACAAATGCGTCGAACACGGTTTTTTTTTTTGTGGAAGGAGACTGTAACATTAATCGATAAACGAGATCTGCACTGGTTGCCGACACGGGCATATCAAAATTAAATTGTTATTGCTATTATACTAGCGCCAACTTCCTCTGATAACTAACATTAGAGCTAAATGAGCATCCCATGCGTGATACATTCGAAAAAAGAAAAGAAGCTGAGCTGAAACGTTGAATTGGCAGTAGACTATAAAAATAAACACCCCAAGACCACTAATTAGACGCAGCCACTAAAAGACC